CAACGAGAATCAGCTGAAAACGTTAAATGCCACGCGGGGTGTTCTCGGCCGTGTGGGCTGCTGTGCAAAGTAGCAGGGACTCAAGGATTTATGAGCTACACACTTACTTGTTCCCACTTCTCCTGGTTGGAGTGGAATGCCGAGTCAGGGCGGCAGCAGCACGGAGCTCCGCTGAGAGCCGCTGGGTGGCCCTCTGGGTGCGGGCTGGGCTCCCTTTCAGAAGGGCGCTGATTCCCCTCCCCAGGGCTCCACCCACACCACCCGCTTCCTCCCCCAGACCCTCCTCCCCATACCATTCCATTGGCGGTGAGGGTTGCAGTGTCTGAAGGGGAGGTGCGGGGCACAGTGGTCAGTCCATGACCATGGCCGTGAGCCGGTGAGACTGTAGACGCCCTGGGAGTGTCAGACAGGGTTGGCCGCTCTGGAAGTCTCCCTGGATCTCAGCCAGGTTTCCCCAGGAGGCTCCCCAGGAGGGTTGGGAGCTGGAGGAAGACGAGGCAGGGAGGGCAGGCCAGGAGGAGGGGAGGGCTGGGCCTCCCAGTGCCGGGCCTCCTGGTCGCCTCTGGCTCTGAGCTGTGGTTTCCAGAGCACATGCTGGGGGCCTCCCGGGCGCTCTGGGCACTGGCCTGTTCGTGTGTCAACGCCGCTGGGAGCTGCCACTTCCCTCGTCCCGCCTCCGTGAGCACAGCCCGCAGCCTCTCCCGGGGGCGAGGGCAGCGCATGCGAGTACCTCCCCCTCCGATTTCTCACCACATCCCACCCGCCCGATTTCTCCGGAAAGTGGCACCTGGAGTAAAAGTAACGGCCATCGAAAACGAGGGAATGATGGTCATTACTTTCCAGTAAGAGCCTCACGCCCACAAATACAAAAACGTTCACAAAAATGACAGAATATTTTCAACTGACTGGTTACCAAGTGAGTGCGGGGAGTCAGCAGGGCACCCCCACTCCAGCAAGGAGCCCCTGAAAGACAGTGACCCTGGGGCAAAGCCTCTCGCAGGCACAGCGGGACCTTTAAGTTAGCGGCCATTTAATGCAAGCTGACGTGGAACATTTGTTTACAGCTGTAATGTACAAATTATATATATATTTTTTTTTTACAAAAATGAGCCATGCTTCTTTAGAGGAAACAGAAACGTGGTTGGGGAACGTGGCGTGAAGAGATCAGTATTCTATCCAGCGCCCTCCGCGGCCGCTGCCCTGTAGCGGAGCAGCCACTTTCCATCCTCACGTATTTCCACTTCCAGGCTTAATTAATTGGGAGCAAGTATCACACACAAACGAGCAGGGCTTTCCTCCCTCCACAGTGTTTACTCATCTCAGTCGGTAAGCTTTTACTTAAAGCACCTAACAACAGTGAGATGGGATTACAACGCATTACATGCAACACACTTAACCAGCTTCATTGCTAGCTGTTCTGATAGCTGTCAATGTCCAGCAGGATGAGGACACTCAGGTATGTGATGACGGCGGCCAGTCACGGCATCTCCCTCCCCCACCCCTCAGCACAGGCACGCTGTCCTGCCTCGGTGGAGGGTGGAGGGGCTGGTTGCTAACGGAAATGGCCTGTCACTTCGAGGCTATGGCGCTTGGTGGCCAGTTTACCCTCCTAAGAGTTGCCTTTTTTTTTTCCTGACATGGAGAAGCAACGTTGGAGATGAAGGTTTAGGAGTGAGGACCTATGGGACAGTTCCCGTCTCCCCACAATGTTCCTGCAGCATAAGCAAAGCAAAGAGACTTTGTCGTTTTGAAGACACTAACATGTTCGCTGTCTGTGACTGCAGCACCGTCTATTTAACTGATCTATTCCAACTGGTGCAAACATCACTCTTTACATGTGTTCACTTCCCTAAACATCTCCTTAGAATAAGTACTTGAAAATGAACACGAAATCGGAGGATACATTTATTTAAATGTCCATACATGCTGTCAAATTACCTCTTTAAAAGTATGCACAAAAACAGATTATGTTCAGTTATGGGTATGAGAAGGTCCCCACAAAAAAGATTAAAAAATAAACACATCGTTCCCAGAAGTACTATTTTAAGAACGAAGGGAACCGTTGTGGCGGCGGCTGTGTGGGGTGATGTAACCCAACAGGCCAGCGCCACTCGGGTTGTAATTTCATGGAAGAGACAGGGCTCCTGGTCCTAATGGACTATCTCGTGTTGGGAAAATTTCATAAATTACTTTGAACAAGAGCCATTTTCCATCGATGGAAGGTGCTCCAGGGGGAGTAGTCGAAATAGAAAGGTGAGCAAATGGCATGTGAACAGCTCACAGATGACACCTGACTTCTTTTTCCAAAAGTCCCATCACACTCCCCTCCTCCTTTGTCTGCAGATGCCACTGAGGGGGACCTTGTTTGTGGGAGATGATCTTCGCCACCCCATCACCTGAGGACCACTGAGGATTTTCTTGTGAATAAAAAATGTCTGTAGTTATTATTATCTATAAACTTTTAAACAATTTTAAGTAAAAGCATACATTTTGTTTCTAAGATTGGAAAGAAAATATTAAGGAGATGTATTCATTATACTTACATCATTAAATAGGTAATATTCACTTTTTTCTCATTGATAGGTGTGCATATATCATATATGTTACTGTTGCGGAAGTTAATCCATTCTTTAGACAATATAGTTGTAATTGAAAAATGTTTCCTAAAACATAAATGCTTATAAGTGTCCCTATTTCTTTCCTAAAGTTTTATATTATTTTATACCATAGGTGTGACAATATTGTTTTCCATCATTATTATCCATTTTTTATATACCTAGCTTCCAGGAACATCGCCAACCAGGGGCGGATTTTGCCCTAGACACTGCTGAGTCACAAGCCGCCCTGTCCCTATACTCTCATCCACCCACAGGGGGCGCTTGGGATGCTTCGTCTGCCTTGGAGGGGGGTGCAATGGGGGTTAGGGGCTCAGGCTCTGGGATACAGGCTGCACATCCCACAGACCTGACTGTGGGCCCTTGAGAAGCCAGGACATCCCCATGTGGCCCAATTCTGACCATTCAGACTTCAGGAGGGTCTCAGGGGGCCTCTAGCCAAGGTCTCCCCTGAGGAGATATATTGCTTTCCTGCACGTCTGTTCGCAGTGCCGCCTGGAACTCACAGCACAAGCACAAGCGTGAATCCAGTGCGCGAAGGGCCCTATCGCTGGAAGACAGAAAGGGGCTGAGTCCTTGACCTCGAGATGGAGCCTTTGCAGCCGCTCGGACCTGCTGAGCCCAGGGTTTCACAAATACCTCCATCTATCAACGGCAAGAGCCCGGCATCCTTCAGAGGCCTGGAGAAGAGGCACGTGACCCGGTAGCTCCTCGGGGACGCCGGTTGTTTTGTGACGGACAAAATAAGAACCCGAGCTTGCACCGTACAGAAACAGGAACTAGACCCGAATTAAAGAGTTAAATGTACCAGTAAAAATACAAAACCGTGAAAGTGCATTTTGTAACATCAACACACTGAGAAACCGATAAAAGAAAAGCTTGAAAAATGAAACTACATAAAAACTAAAGTTCTACACCATTTTATTAAAAACGCATCTTTACTGTTGAAAGTATCATAGATGTCCCCATTTTCCCCCCACTGACTCCCTCCCCCCTGCTCCCGCCCTGCCCCAGGCCTTCACCACGCTAGAACAATAGAATGGAAAAGCAAATATAAATTGTCAAAAATTATAACAACATAATAGATGTCTGTTTATGTAAATATAATTTTAATAGGGAAAGAGCAAGGCACAAACCTATAATACAAAAGAAATATTACAATTACTGAAAATATGGGAAAATATTTAACCCTATCAATAATTTCAAAAAGCAGAGAATAAAATTCTGTTTTATCATTGACCAAAATGTTAATGATAATCTCAAGCATATGGAAGGCATGTAGTTTCATGAGCAGATGGTGGATGGTATGACTTAATATAGTTCCTCTGGGGCGATTAATAATATTTACCAAAAGCTTTAACATTACTGATAAAAGATTATCTTAACATTTATCCTAAGGAAACATTAAGGACCTGTGCAAATATTTTGCTGCACCTAAATGCACCATAATTTTATTAAACATTTGTATAAAATGCAAAAAGAAAACATTCCAATGATGTGGGATTGTTCAAATAGTTTTAAGCAGTGGATTTATAAATAGATTTGAGAGAGAGATAACAAGGTTGGGAAAGTTTTCACAGGTTGTGAGTTTTTTGCAGAGAGGAGAATCCCGTTTCTTAAAAAATAACGAATGTATTATGTTATATAAGCAGAGCACCTCTCAAACATTAAGATGAGGTAAATCCCAGACAAACATGGGAAGGAGGAGAGGCCGGGTGTCCATGTGTAACTGAGCCACAGTGTGTAACTTCCTTCCCAATGCCACGCTACCCACACTTCCAAAATAATGTCCTTTTTTGGTTGGTTTTGAGCTCGACTGATGATTGCAACGGGAAGTTTTTCTTTTATTAGACGCCTATTCTGAGAAGTAGAATAAGTTTTCCTAAAGCAATGGCGCCAAAAATGTTAGAAAGAGGAGTTTCCCCCTGGCCCAGATGTTTGCAAATCTCCGATTCCTGTGCCTAATTCCTGTGCTCACCTTCCAGCTCACCACCTAGTTCCCGCTCTGGGCAGGATTACATGCAGAGCGGTTATTGGATTCTTGACCTCACATTTTTATGCCGTGACTCTACAACGTAAATAAAATATAGGATCCCTGTGTTAACAGATCTTACTAACCGATACACTAGAATATACAGGGTGTCCCCCAAAATGTACACTTTAAGAGCTGAGAGCTCAATTTTGAAAATGAAATGTATTTCAATAAACATACTTTATAATTCATCAATGTGTGTATACATTTCTGGGGATACGCTGTGTTTATATTGTTCATGGTGAAATGAGAAGATCTTCAAGCATTTTCCCCCAACAAGACCAGTGCCTCTTGACCAGACCTTTCCTATGGAAGCGCCGAGGACATGAGGATCAGCACGGGTCCTGGGGCCGCACCGGCGGGTGCTCTGTTTGACAGCGTGGTCCTGCTGGCTTCCTGCTCTGCTCTGTGACCTTGGACACGTTTCGAAGCCAATCCTTTCAGGCCCTGGTCATGCCCAGTGCCCGTTACCTGGGGTGGATGCTTATTTTGTTTCAAACACACGAACACGCCCTCACTGTGTGGAGGCATTGTTTGGGACGCTCTGCAAATACTATCTCAGTGACTGCTCAGGACAACTCTATGATGCAGTCACTTTGTCATGCCCATTTTACAGATGAGGACAGAAAGGTGAGTGAGGGGCCACAGGCACACACCTGGGGGGGATCCTTGTTGCTGGGACATATGGGCTAGAGCGACCCAGGCCACAGGGGAGAGGGGGTTTAGGGGAGGCTTCCCCGAGGAACTGTCCTTTACTCCAGATGGAGCTCTCCAGGGGGAGGGGCCTTGAGCAGCTGTAGGCACACAGCAGGGTTATCACTAGGAAAGGAAGTCTTCTCTTCTGAGACACCCTGCGTTCTTTGTTCTATCCCTTTTTTATGACTATCTTTTTATCTTCTCTCTCTCTCTCTCTCTCTTTCTCTCTCTCTCTCTCCCCTCTCTCCATATCTAACTATTTCTCATCTCTCTCCATACACTAGTATATACATTCAGCTTCCTTCCAATCATATCCATTTTCATGTCCCAGAGGCACTTTAAACTCGGATGTTAAATTGCAATCATTCCCAGGACCAGGGACCTGCCTCCGAACCCTCCCCTCATCTCAGTGACACTCAGTGTGCAGCACCAACATCTACTGGGCTCCCCAGGCGGAAAGCGAGGGGAGCACCCTTCACTCTTGCCCATGCCTCCCCCCTCCATCCAATCACCCCACAGGCCCTCTTGATTCCGCTCCTGAAATCCCCTCAAGCCACTGCGTTGACCCAGCTGGAGAGTGGCAGTCTAGCTGTTGCAGACCGTGATAGAAGAGGGTCAGGCTGGGGCTGATTGGCCTGACGCCCTGCTGTGAGCGGTGGTGGCGGCCTAGGGGGCTTCTCTCTGCACTGTTCCCCACGCACAGATCGCAATCCAGGCTGTGGGACTGCCTGTCCAACCGGAAGTTTTCATTAATTCAAGTGTCGGTCTTCACTGAAGGACGTGAGATGCTCACCCCACCGGTGAACCAGTTGTAATCATTTTTTTGGATGTGATCTCAGGGGGTGTTTTCTTTAGCGTTGGCCTCTATAGGTAGATATTTCTTGGAACGATATCTATACTAATAAAAGGGTAATATGCAAATGGTCGGGACACCCTCATGTGTAACAACTGATCAGCAGGCTGCGTGCGCAGCAGGCATGGGTTGGTGGGGACTTTCAGTGTCGGGGACTTGCGTCACGCCATCACAATGCATCACCAGGAGGTCTGGCGCCCGGCGGAGGCCTCCATGTGACTCTGCTGGGGGTCCGGAAGCCTCCACGTGGCCCAGCCCGGGGGCAGGGCCCGGCGGAGGCCTCCGTGCAGCCCAGAGGTGTGGCCTGGCAGAGGCCTCCACTCAGCGAGGCCTAGGGGTCCCTTGGCTCTGAGTGGCGAGATCTGGGGGTCCTGTGGCTCCACATGGCATGGAGGCGGGACCCCCAGCTCCGGCCTACCTCTTTGGGGCAATCCATCGAGGAGCCCCTCACTGTGATGGCACAGACCAGGCTGGGGGACCCCTCCCCCCCAAGTGCATGAATTTTGTGCACCAGGCCACTGGTTGTATTTATAACCAATTATCTCAAGGGCAGCTCCGGCCTAGCTCTCTTGTTCTTGCTCACCTTTGTTGCTACTGGGGTTGGAGAGAAATGTGCCTTCCTCTCTGTCAGGGTCTTTGCTCAGAAGGCACTGGCCGCCTGGAGGTGACTTAGAGGGCACTGTGCTGTTGCTCCTGCCTCTGAGCCCCAGAGGGCAGCAAATCAATTTTCCGAGGCTCCTGCTGGTTTGATTTGCTGGATGTATGCGTGATGCTTCTTGTGTTTCTGAATCTTACCTGACAGGTTCCGCCGCCCCGGGATCCTACAGGGGGATGCTCTAGGGGGGATGTGAGCCAGGCTGCCTGGCCTCTGCAGAAGGCTCTGCTGCGGTGGCCCTGCTCTGCTTTCCACAGCCTCCAGGGAGCCCCCAGGGAGACACGATCAGACTGCTTAGTGCTGAGTCCCTGTCCCACTGCCCTGAGCTGACACCTGCCATGTAGTGATGACAAGAAGCCTGGGCTTAATGGCACACATTCCCAAAAGACAACACTACCCTCCTCTCCAGTCTGCATTGCGTCATCCCCAGTCCCGCTGCCAGGGTCCTTCCAGATCAGAGAGTAACACTATGGGGCCTCCTACAGATTCTGTCAGCGCCCTCATCCCAACACTCTCCCTGACCAACCGCTGCACCTGGCCTTCATTTGCCTCCAAAATTTACCTCCCTTCCCTTTCTCCAGTCCAGCCCTGCTGCTCTTAAGACCTTGGCTGTTAAAAATTGAAATCGACAGATGTGTTGTATTTTAAATTCATACCCGAGTGCCTAAGGGGGGCGCTTCCTGCAAGCCCTGTCCACGCCCCCCACCCCCACCCCCAGCCCCAGCAGCTCTCCCGGGGCCTCTGTTCAGGTGCTCTCCTCTGCGCCTGGGTTTCATGACAAGACCCCTGGTTTCGGGGGAGCCCTGACAGTCCAGTGTCAAGGCCATTGCCCAGGAGAGCGTCCTCCTGAGCTGCGTCAGCCATGTGGACAGACCCCGCGGCCAGTGCTGAGGAAGCATGACTGATGGCCCCTCCCTCTGACTCCCCAGCCCGGGTTCTCTCAGCAACGCCAGGAGGTGAGTGCGAGTCCCGGCTGCCTGGCTGAGGCCCTGACCTTCAAAGGGGCATCGGAGGAAGGTGCCAGGCGCTGATGGGTACGAGGGGCTCTGGGTGAAAGGGGTCACTCAGGCCCTCAGTGAAGAGTTCTGTGTCCCCTCCAAGGGACCTTCCCATTGCCTCACTTTATAATAACCGTTTCATTAACAGACAACGCAAAACAAAACATTAAATCACATTAAAGAGGCCTCCTCCCTCCTGTGCGGGAGCCGGCAGGTGAAATACTTGCTTCTCCCCGAGTATTTCCCATCTGAACCGGCCTTATTTATTCACTGTTCCCGGCGACCTCGCTCTCCCCTCTGCCGACACGTGTCTGAGTTAGTTCCATGTATGAATCACTGGCAGGTTTAGCAGGCACGTGGCCTGTGGAATATCAACGCAGAAGCTCGTGCATGTGGCGGGGCCCTGACTGCAGCCTGCTCTTCCCGGCCAGCAGGGAGGGTGCACCGCAGGCTCAGAACCTCCGCTCTGCAATCAGGGACGTCAGTCTGAAGCCATTGAAGCTCCATGGAAACAGCAGCGTGTGTAATATTCCGTCAGGGGCGACATGGAGTTGCTGGTGTGGCCCACCGACAGCGTGGCAGCTGGATTCTGACAACGATTCATTCTGTAAAGACCACCAGAGGACCAGGCATTCTGTTGGGACTTAAAGGAGAATTTATCCAGATGTGGAGCTGCAGGGGCCTAAATGGACTAACTCTGACCTGAAGGGATAGAACCAAGTTGCACATGTTCAAAAATTTGGTATAATTTTCTTTTCTCTTGTTTTACGCAAAAGTTTGTTGCTATTTTTTGTTTGTTTGTGACTTTACCTTTTGTCTGCGTCCCACTTATATCCGGTTTGCTTTAAAATCCAAGTCAGACACTTGGGCTCTTGAAAAAGATGGTATTTGGAGTAACGATGCAAGAAATTCTAGAATCCAGCGTGGGCAGGGAGGAGTCCCTGTGGTTGAATTGGTTGCTTGTAATTGGCTAAGAAGCATCTACTACATGTCTCCTTCTCTAGATGGGACTGATCTGAGCCCAAACATCCACTGGGTCTAGCCTGGCCCGTGTGGCTTGGTGGTTCTTCAGTTCTTGTGCTCTCCAGTTCTCCCAGACCAACATTCCATTCCTTCTCATCCAGACTTCAACATCCTCGCACTATCCTCATTCTCAGCTACTGACCTCACTAGTACTTCCTCATTCATAGAGGAAAAAAATTGGAGAAATAAGATGAATTGCACAATCTTCCAATACATCTACCGACCCTTGCCTCTCTGTCCTGCTTTCCCTTCCTTTGCTGGGATTGAACTGTCTGTGTCCCAGCTACAGTCCAATTCCCCAGTTGTGCTTTAGGTCCCACACCCTCTCACTCAAGGTCAGCGCTTTATCGATACCGTCCTCCTCTTCTACACGGTCAGTTTTCCTATGTTCACGGATGTTTTCTATCAGTGTTCAAATTATTTTTCTCAAATTACAAGAAAAAAAGCAAATTCTTACTTGAGCCCAATACCTCAATAAGTTTTGAATTTCTTTCTCTTTAGAGTTAAAATCCCCGGAAGGGGTGTGTATATGTGCTACTTCTGGTTCTATAACTCCCAAAGTCCTCGAACCCTCTTCCATCAAGCTTTTGCTTGTAAAACAATCTCTTCTCTACCATATATCCGAATAGCACCCACATTTCTGTTTTCAACCTGAATTTTTCTACAGAACTTCGGGCTTGTGGATCCATCTGCCTATTCAACATTTCCATTTGAAATATGAGTACTATTTTCAAATTTAGCCAAAATGTATGACATCCCCTTTCTCACATCTGCTGTATGGATGATGACGATGGAATGAGAAGGAAATGTGGGCGACTAGTTCATCAGGTGGGAAGACAATGCTTTGCCTTCCTCCATGCCGCGCCCTCACTTTGTCCCCACCAGTCCCTTTCTGGGCTGCGCAGTCCCTGCCTGGGCCTCTGTAATGGCACTTGGCACATCATTATGTTTAGTTATCGGTGTTCTGTCTCTACATTCATTGTGGAAGAGCAGGGCCAGGCTCATCTTTGAAGTGCACATCCAAGCACATGCCAGACACATAGTAGCATCTCCAAGTGTGGCCAATGGGTGCAAGAGTCAACATCGTTAGCATTCACACACACACACACACACACACACACACAATGTGGCCTCTTGGAAACATGCCACATGCCTTCAACCAGGCGACCACATGACGGTTCTTTTAGAAAGTCCTTGCCATAACATCTTAGACAGCTCGCTAAATCCTTCTGGGACTACCTTCCATCAGCAATAACATGAGCCCTACATCAGAGGACTCCAATGAGTTAGCATGGATGTCATTTCTCTGTGAATGATAAAACAGTTTAAAATTTCATGCTTATAATCTAATATCCCAGAACAAGAGGGAATCAATTTAGTGTCCGGTGATGGATGCCTCCTTTTCTATAAAAGCATCTCTAGCCTCTTAATCAATCACACTCACCACCATCCAACTATAAGTTGATGACAATCAAATCTACAGCAGATCTCCCTTCCCGAGTTTTCTCTTTAGTTCAGAAGTAGACATGGACTTTCATCACTAACTGGAGCTGTGAAAGCCAGCGTGGCTGAAATGCAGCCCGTTACACCTGTCGTGTCAATGCCCTACTGATCAAATGCGTACTGTGCGACCACTGTGACCCAGGCAATCTGCTCTGGGCAGCAGAGGTCCTAGCAGAGGAGTGTCACACCATCTGTGCTTCAGAAGGACCACCAAGTTGATTTGTGGAGGTTGGATTTAAGGGCCAAGTTAAAGGCATGAAGATCAATTCCTTGTCTCCTATGCTAATCAAAGGAAGGGATGACAATCCACGTAGTTAAGGAATTCCTAATATGGACTTAGTGTAGTTAAATGCACCTGGGAAACCAAGAACATAAAACATACAGATTTACTATTGCCCAGTTATGTAGGTGAGAAAAAGGGGGGAATTGAAAATCACTTCCAAGATACTAGCTTGGATTTCTGATGACCAGTGATACCAGCTTTGACAGAAAATGCAGGAGGAGAAGGTACTGGTCCAGAGGGAAGACCATTAGTGTAATATATGACTAAGCACTTTTGGCAGGATAACTTGAGGCATGCCCGGAGCATGTGCAAGAATCCCCTGATGTTAGGACTGTGGATAAATGATAGGGCTTTTGCTGGACAATGTGAATCAGCAAATCCTTAGTTTTGATGAGTGTGGTGGGTATTTCTCTCTAAGTCATCACATGGGAACCCCCAAGGGTGAGAGAATAACACTGGAGAAGTGACCTTATCCTCTTGAGTGATGCGTTAAAATATGTTTAGTGCCCAGTGCCCGATTTTCATCTTCCTAGTTAGTGAAGAAACTTAGCATTAACACTCCCAAAGGGCCTTCTCGACAACGCTGGTGAGCACTAAAGTAACTGTCCTCCATGAAGCATTGCAAGGAGAACCATCACAGCACATCAGCGTGGAAAGTGTGTCATATATCGATTTCTGAGCTACTACTGGCTCTTCATTAACACCCATTGTAGATCCTTAGACTTCCTGCCACTTTCCCAGGAAATGTACTTCAGAGAGGAGCTATGACAGATCTGATGTGACAAGCACTGTTTTGCAATTACTGTGTTTCTCTGACACTAACATCCCCTAATTCAGGCTCACGACATTCTCGTGCATGAAGGACTATTCGGGATTATATTTCAGATGGGAACACCAGGCGGATGAGTGAGTGGCAATCAAAGTAAGAGTATTGGCTGTGCAGCCAGCAGACTTCAGTCCAAAGCTAGGCTCCAGCAAGGTACCTCATGTCTTTCAGCCCCAATTTAATAACTAATAAAATAAGACCATCAATAGAACAGAAATATTTTAAAAATTAAATAACTATTATTGTTAATTAGTACTTAGTAAATGGTATCTAACAAATTCTGGTCACCTTCCCTTCACACTGCTTATAGTACACTTCCTGATGTCACTTCAAAATGACTGAAAAACAAAAATAGATAAAATAGGAAACTTCTTCTGACAATAACAGAGCAAAGTAAATACATACAACTATTAATAATAAAAAGCGTGGAACACACACATACTGTATGTATACATTTTGTTCTCATTATTTATTCTAGGTAGGTTCCAGAAAGTTGGCATGGCACTTAAACAGTTAATACTGAACTGCTCCTCTGAGTAAGCATTAGTTGACTTCAAAACTCTGGCCATAATATTTTTGTAAAAAGAGCAATACATAATCTTATTTTATGTATGTGTCTGTGTAAATACAACTTATTGAATGTATATTGTTGATTCATTAACACTGAACTCATGTACCTTCCTCTCCTTCTCCCTTCCATGTCATTTATCTTGATTAGAGTTGCCCGTGCGTGCACTCTGTGTGGTCTGGTAGTCTCCTCAATGGCCTGACTCTGTAATTGAGTTCTGGCTGTCAAGACTGTGTGGCATAGGCCAAAGGACAGACACGATCATAAGTGAAGCATAATTAAGAGTCCAGAAACAGATCCGCATATTAGGTACTTGACTTATAACAACTATAATTCCACAGGGAAAGGGTGTCATTTTAAATAAATGATGCAGGGCCAATAGGCTACTCATATGGAAAAAGAAAAATTGATACATTCCTCACACTGGATGCAAACACAAAGTCCTAGATGGATTGTTAACCCATGGTTGAACGTTAACCAACTAAAGGGCTTTTAGTAGCAACTCAGAATCGTATCTTTGTGGTCTTAGGTCATCATATGTCTCAGGGAGAAAATCTACCTCTGAGAAAAGAGTTGCTAAATTGGGCTAAATTAAAATTAAGAATTTCTGTTCATCGAATGGCATCTACCACTGTCCAAATGAGAATGCTACATACGAACTGGAAGGCATTGGTAGCACACAAAAGGAATGCCATCTTCTAGAACACAGAGGAGTTCCTACAAATCAACAGAAAGGACTGAGAATACAATAGAAAAATGAATTCAGATAATTAAACACTTTTCAAAATAGAATATGCAAATGACCAATGCACATGAGAAAAAATGCGCAACCTCACCAGTTATCAGAACAAAACAAATACATAATTGCCACACATTATTAAAATTTTAAAAAGACTGCCAGCAATACTAATGTTGGGAAGGATGTGGAGCGTGTAGAATAATGTTCTCCTGTTGGTAGGAATCACCCTGGAAAGCCATTTTTCAGAATCTAAGCTGAATATTTTAGTATCATATAACTTCAGCATTCATGCGTTTAGGTATATACTAAATAGAAATAACTATATATGCGCAGCAATGAGAAAATGAGCACAGTAACACTAGTCATGACCAGCTAGAGAGGCCCAAATGCCCATCAACTAGAATAGTGAGTAATAAATGGACTGTCCATGCAGTATCACAGCACACCACACAACAGTATAGATGAGCATAGTATCCTATATAATAAAGAGGTAATTTGCAAATTGACTGTCACGCCCTCACACAAGATGGCCGCCCCATGTGGTCAAAAGATGGCTGCCACAAGATGGCTGGCAGGGGAGGGCAGTTAGGGGCAACCAGGCTGGCAGGGGAGGGCAGCTGAGGGCGATCAGGCCGGCTGGGGAGCAGTTAGGTGTCGATCAGGCTGGAAGGGGAGTGGTTAGGGGATGATCAGGCTGGCAGGCAGAAGCAGTTAGGGGCAATCAGGCAGGCGAGTGGTTAGGAGCCAGCAGGCTCCGATTGTGAGAGGGATGTCCGACTGCCGGTTTAGGCCTGTGGGATTGGGCCTAAACTGGCAGTTGGACATCCCCCGAGGGGTCCCAGATTAGAGAGGGTGCAGGCTGATCTGAGGGACAACCCCCCAGTGCACGAATTTTATGCACCAGGCCTTTAGTCATGATATACAGCCATAGACAATACCTGTAATGCTGAACATAATGCCCGACACCTACAATCGTCAGGGCTCAGTCCACTTGCAGACTCTCGTCCCCCTTAAGCATGGACTGCGCATGAGCAGAACCCCTGGGCGGGTCCCATGGGTGTGAGGGCGGGGCTAGGATATCGGACCTTAGAGTAGGCTTGACTAGGAAACAAAAGGTTTAAGTTCCTTTCAGGAAATTGTAGAAAACTGTCTAGAACAGGGGTGGGCAAACTTTTTGACTCGAGGGCCACAATGGGTTCTTAAACTGGACCGGAGGGCCGGAACAAAAGCATGGATGGAGTGTTTGTGTGAACTAATATAAATTCAAAGTAAACATCATTACATAAAAGGGTACGGTCTTTTTTTTTTTAGTTTTATTCATTTCAAACGGGCCGGATCCGTAGTTTGCCCACGGCTGGTCTAGAATCTTAACAAATAAAACAGGTTCTTGTTGAAAGTATTTCTGCAGACTATCCTGTGACTGTTTGTAACATGTTTTTATTAATTCCTCTCAATTTAAAATAGACATTTGCATTATTGTGAGAGATTCGCTACTGAATCTGGGCTTGCAGGGCTGTCCCCACAGGGCTGGCCACGTCCTCGCAGCCATTGGGGTGTCGGTAAGGAAAGCTCGACTTGCTGGCCACACTCACACTTACTTCTCTCAGGTCAGTTTCACGGCATTCCCTTCCAAAAAATAAAAATGCCTCAAAATGCTCTTGTGAAGCCGTCTTCCTATTGCATTTGCAATATTCACTGCTTTCGATGGCTATTGAAAGTTTGAGTTTAAAAAGAAAATTAAAAGCATTAATTTTTAAAGCATGAAACTGCATAAGAATGAAAATCAATAAAATTCAAGTCACAAATTCTTACAGTGCTTCTGCCACCTCCCCCCACCCCTGGTGGATACTGGGCCCCCCTTCTGGGCCGGTGACTCTCGCTTTCCTGGAGAAATAATTCATGCAGAGTTAGACCCTTCGCCACCAGCTCCTGCTCTGTAATAAATAACACTTACAGCTAAAAAGGAGCCTAGGTTTTCCTTGAGTGGAAAATCAGGAAGGTCTGGGTTTTGACATCTACACACAGGGTGCAGGTTGGGGGGACAGCGGCGTGAGGAAGGGCTGGTGGAAAGGAAGCTCTGAGCGCCTGTTAGGGGCAGTGTGATAGCGACGCCCATCGCCTCAAAGCTTCCCCATGTTCCTGCTCCCTTCCATCTGGCTGAGCTGTAAACGCTGAAAGGAAAAGGTCCGTGCAGTTCCAGAGTCAGAACCCGAGGAAGTGTCACCATTGAGACAATGTCCTGAGGGGGGACAAGAAGTAAGAAGTGGCCCGTGCACAGTCGCCTGCCCTGACCGCAGGCCTGGGGGGAGGGGGCCACCCTGCCCTCGCCAGCCCCCAGCCCCTGCAGCCCGTGGGCCTGCTCTCCATCCCTCCGCAGATTAGAGTCCGTTATGTTTCATTGTTTGAAGAGAACACATAACGACAGAGTGCGATAGGTCAGACCAGGCTGGTTCCCCAGCCTGCAATGCAGTCATGCCTGGGATTCTGCCTATTTGCATCATTTGGTTAAAATGCTGTTCAAGTTAAATGGCAACATGGGGCTGCTTATCTCTTTTTAAAAAATGTCTTTCTGAGAAGGTGTGTGGAAGCCCTAAGCTTTAAAGTAAAAAACAGAGGACATTTCCTCAGGTTTGGGAAGCATATTACAGCCATGCCCACCCAAGCTCGGGCATGCCCGGTGGGTGTTGCTCAGTGGGTCGAAGCTCCGTCCTGTGCACTGAAAAGCTGCCGGTCGGATTCCCCATCAGGGCACATGCCGGGGGCTGCAGGCTCCACCCCGGGCAGGGGGCGCACAGGAGGGGGGAGGGCGGGGCGTGCAGGAGGCAGCTGACCAATGATTCTCTCTCATCACTGATGTTTCTCTCTCTCCTTTCCTCTCTGAAATCAATAAAAATATATATATTTTTAAAAACTGAGCTGTGGGCTGTTACCCCCATTGCATAAACATAGCCTGTCCTGGGGACTCGGTGATAATAACACACACACACACACCCCGCCCCCTGTGCTGGGATCTGGGTCCGGGGGCGCACACCCCACAGGCAATCAGGGTGGATGCTGGGACCCTGGCTCGGGGCGCTGGTGGCAGTTCCCATCAATCAAGCGTAATTACTTACCACCGTCATTCGTTCTTGTGCAACAGCGAACGCATTCCAAGGGGGGGTGGGTGACAGTTTCTGTGTAAACAGGAGGCCAGAGCGCCTGCGTGCTGCCTGCCCTTGTGCTGGGGCCATGGAGTCAGGCCTGTGACTCCGGTGAGTGTTTTCCCCGCTTCGCTGTTGATGGGCTGGCGGGCTGGGACCCAGGCCGCTGAGACGGGGCGGGAGGCGGGCCCTCCAGGGCCTGGCAGCATGACCAGGGGCTGCTGGAGCTGTGCCCTGGGGCCCTGGGAGAGCAGGAGGCGGAGGACTGTAGGGACCAAGCCCCAGTGGGCACCGTTCCCAGGGCGGAGGTCCCCGGTGGCTGCGAGAGAGGACGTGGAAGGAGGTCAGGGGGGAAACGGCCTCTGGGCCGAACCCCAGACTCGCACCTTCACTGACATTGTGACGGGTCTACTGGCCGAGCTGTTTGCAGAGCACGAGGTTCCTCTGGACACGGGCAGCGCGGCCTACAGACACGTTAATAAAGAGCATTTTTATGGAGACCTGGCATCTATCGTCGTTACAGCCTCCATGAGCCGGTGCTCCAATCTGCACAGAGCAGTCCCACCGTCACCGGCACAGCCGAGCGCAGAGCCGTCCGAGGACACGGGGGGAGGCCTACCACTGCTCTTCCCGACCTAACGCTGCAGCCACGGGGACACCTGGGTGTGAAGCAGCTGAAATTCACTCACTGAGCTGGGACTGAGCTGAGCTCTTAAAATGTCACGGTCTGTCTCGTCATTGAATATTTTATACCAACTCTTCCTAATTAGAGATATGCTTTAATTTATGTAAAAAATCGCTTGCCTAGAAATGATCAAAATAATTAGAAGCAAAATCCTGCTAATTTTTATTTACTGCCACATAAATATAATATTTAAGGTGAAAATATGAAATTGTTTTCCTTGGAGTCAGCTCATGTTGTCTGGGTGCCCGTGAAGAATTTAAAAGCATTTTATGGCTGTTAATGGAACTTGGTAAAAAGTGTTGATTAAAGTTGAGCATGGGAAATTCTTTATGTATCACACATCTCCATAACATATGATGAAACGCATTTTGTATTAATTTATTATGGAAAAGGTAGTCAAAATTAATCAAACATTATAAAGTGAGTTTCCTTAATCTATGCAGTGGTACGATTTTGTTTTATGTGGCATTTTTCATGCAAATGGTATAAATAGCCTCAGAGAGTTAAACAAAGCCATAGACCAGAATGACAAAGCGTCGGAGGGAGAAATATGAACGAGGAGAAGAAAGTGAGGAAAGATCCATTATCAAATGAGTGCGGGACGGCCGCGAGTGTTATTTAAAGTCTTGCAGGAACGCATCGCTGTTTCCAGGAAGACATTTACATGAGCTCCGAGGACATTTCCCGGGCAGCAGCGCCCGAGCCATCCATCACCTGCTGAGAATAACGGGATGCCGCCGAGGGCAGCGCTCCCGGTCACACTGGAGAGCAGGCCAACCCGGGAGGAGAGAGGAGCCACCAGGTGTTTTTTTCCTGGAAACAAATCCCAGGACCTGTGCTCCCGCTCAGAGACACGACCTCCAAGGCCGCCATCATCGTATCAGCGAGAGTCTGGGAATGGATTTCCTAAAACCCGAAGGGCAGTTATTAATTTTCCTGAAAGACGTTGTTCAAAAATGCTGAGCCGCAGGACGAAATGCTATGGACACAGCGCTTCCCCCAAAGCGAACTGGACAGTCCACGTGTATGTCTGGGTCTGTGTGGAGCACCGTCCTCTAAGCCAAGAGGGATGTCCTCAAGGCACCTGAGACCACTGACCGGGAACCTTCCACCCACAGACCCTCCTCCCACCCACAGGCCCTCCTCCCACCCACAGGCCCTCCTCCCACCCACAGGCCCTCCTCCCACCCACAGGCCCTCCTCCCACCCACAGGCCCTCCTCCCACCCACAGGCCCTCCTCCCACCCACAGGCCCTCCTCCCACCCACAGGCCCTCCTCCCACCCACAGGCCCTCCTCCCACCCACAGGCCCTCCTCCCACCCACAGGCCCTCCTCCCACCCACAGGCCCTCCTCCCACCCACAGGCCCTCCTCCCACCCACAGGCCCTCCTCCCACCCACAGGCCCTCCTCCCACCCACAGGCCCTCCTCCCACCCACAGGCCCTCCTCCCACCCACAGGCCCTCCTCCCACCCACAGGCCCTCCTCCCACCCACAGGCCCTCCTCCCACCCACAGGCCCTCCTCCCACCCACAGGCCCTCCTCCCACCCACAGGCCCTCCTCCCACCCACAGGCCCTCCTCCCACCCACAGGCCCTCCTCCCACCCACAGGCCCTCCTCCCACCCACAGGCCCTCCTCCCACCCACAGGCCCTCCTCCCACCCACAGGCCCTCCTCCCACCCACAGGCCCTCCTCCCACCCACAGGCCCTCCTCCCACCCACAGGCCCTCCTCCCACCCACAGGCCCTCCTCCCACCCACAGGCCCTCCTCCCACCCACAGGCCCTCCTCCCACCCACAGGCCCTCCTCCCACCCACAGGCCCTCCTCCCACCCACAGGCCCTCCTCCCACCCACAGGCCCTCCTCCCACCCACAGGCCCTCCTCCCACCCACAGGCCCTCCTCCCACCCACAGGCCCTCCTCCCACCCACAGGCCCTCCTCCCACCCACAGGCCCTCCTCCCACCCACAGGCCCTCCTCCCACCCACAGACCCTCCTCCCACCCACAGGCCCTCCTCACACCCACAGACCTTCCTTTCACCCACAGGCACTCCAACCCCAGGACAAGGAATCCAAGCCTCCTCCTCCTCAAAAGGCAGACAAAAGAAACCCGAGAAAGGCTGACTCTTAAAAAATGAGATAGATGTTCGTTCATAGGTGACATTTGAAAGTGGCTTCCCCACAAGGAGTTGGCATCAGCACCAGTGTGAGCACTTTTATATCCATGAATATTTCTACAAACTTAGAGAAAAATGCTACCAAATGAATTTCCTTTTCTCTTTAAACTCAAGCTGGAGGTTGTCTGAGTTGACCCTGCATCATCTCTGAGCTTCTGGGTCCAGGACAGAGCCGGTCGCCCGCTGCTCTTTCCACCAGCGCAGGGGCGTTCCCGTTCTTTCAGCCAAACTGTCTTCCTGGAAACTCAGGGGGTGGGGGCCTGGGACACGTGCGCCTCGTTGTGTTCACAGTATGCTTTTCCGCCTCCCCAATAAAAGCTGCCGTCAACCCCAAAGGCCTTGAATTTTCACATGAAACAAAATTATCATGCAAAACCAAGAATGGAAATTTAGTTTGTGCCTTTGAGGACAAAAAACAAACAGACGGATATGAATTTGTATAAATGACACAAAAGTGTGTTTGTGAGCCCCCTGTGCCTGCTGTGCGATTCCAGAGGTGAATCAGCCGAGAAAGCTCTGGTCCTGTGGATGTGGGACTCATGGAGGGCCCCGTTTGGGGATTGTCCCTTCATAGAGGTGGCCCTTTCCTCACCCCCAGCCAAACTGGAGATGCTAACTGATCCCTTTGTTACCACCAGGGTGACCACGTCAGGGAGTCTGGGAAACGGGCCGGGCATGACTTCTCTGGCTTAGCACATTCTGCCTCTAGCGATCTCACCATAAAGTGAGTGCTCCGAGTACTTGTGAGGTAAATGAATAAATAATCACCATCCTCATCGGTTAAAATTACCTCAAACCTGGTCTCTGGCCTCCCAGCCCAGGCTCCCACTGAGCAAATGACAGACCAGATGCATGGGATCCTGTGGATGGATAGGCAACAGGCGGAGTACCGTGGATGGAAAGGCAACAGGAGGAGTCCCGTGGATGGAAAGGGCAACAGGAGGAGTCCCATGGATGGATAGGCAACAGGCAGAGTCCCGTGGATGGATAGGGAACAGGAGGAGTCCCGTGGATGGAAAGGGCAACAGGAGGAGTCCCATGGATGGATAGGCAACAGGCAGAGTCCCGTGGATGGATAGGGAACAGGAGGAGTCCCGTGGATGGAAAGGGCAACAGGAGGAGTCCCATGGATGGATAGGCAACAGGCAGAGTCCCGTGGATGGATAGGGAACAGGAGGAGTCCCGTGGATGGAAAGGGCAACAGGAGGAGTCCCATGGATGGATAGGCAACAGGCAGAGTCCCGTGGATGGATAGGGAACAGGAGGAGTCCCGTGGATGGAAAGGGCAACAGGAGGAGTCCCATGGATGGATAGGCAACAGGCAGAGTCCCGTGGATGGATAGGGAACAGGAGGAGTCCCGTGGATGGAAAGGGCAACAGGAGGAGTCCCATGGATGGATAGGCAACAGGCAGAGTCCCGTGGATGGATAGGGAACAGGAGGAGTCCCGTGGATGGAAAGGGCAACAGGAGGAGTCCCATGGATGGATAGGCAACAGGCAGAGTCCCGTGGATGGATAGGGAACAGGAGGAGTCCCGTGGATGGAAAGGGCAACAGGAGGAGTCCCATGGATGGATAGGCAACAGGCAGAGTCCCGTGGATGGATAGGGAACAGGAGGAGTCCCGTGGATGGAAAGGGCAACAGGAGGAGTCCCATGGATGGATAGGCAACAGGCAGAGTCCCGTGGATGGATAGGGAACAGGAGGAGTCCCGTGGATGGAAAGGGCAACAGGAGGAGTCCCATGGATGGATAGGCAACAGGCAGAGTCCCGTGGATGGATAGGGAACAGGAGGAGTCCCGTGGATGGAAAGGGCAACAGGAGGAGTCCCATGGATGGATAGGCAACAGGCAGAGTCCCGTGGATGGATAGGGAACAGGAGGAGTCCCGTGGATGGAAAGGGCAACAGGAGGAGTCCCATGGATGGATAGGCAACAGGAGGAGTCCCGTGGATGGATAGGCAACAGGAGGAGTCCTGTGGATGGATAGGCAACAGCCAGACAGAAGTACAGTCTCACGGGAGGAGCACCAACTTGTGTGAAGACCTAAGTTCCTGTGTTTGGAAACGGCCTCTCTTGAATGACCTGGTGCCCAGTGTCCCTGGCAGAAACACATCCCTCCGGCGTGCCAACATGCCTCTCCGTCATTTAGTGTTTGTAGATAATTCAGTTGATTTTTAAACAGTGTGTTAACGCATGTAATTAAAACCAAGCCTACAGTCACACTCTCCAAGGGCACACAAAGATGACTGGGCTTTCGAAACGGCAGCCAACGGAAACCTGAATGAATTGCCCGCCTTCCTCCGCACGCGCTCCATGGCGTGTTGTGTTTTTCCTGCGACGTTTCACTCTCCGGACGGGTGGAGGCGCTCGGTGCCCTGAGGGGGGTAGGGGGCTGCTTTTCCCAGCTGCTCAGTTTCCATTGCTACCAGCATCGACTCTTCTGTCTAATAAGCCTCCTCATTAGTTAAAACCACGAGAAAACGTCTCATTCCACGGTGGGGTGCTAGTCCCTCCAGCAAACAGGCGGGGGCGTCACCGGGACCTCCAGGCCAGGGACCAGGCGTTCAGCCACTGCACATGCTGGACGACTCCGTGGTCCCCTCTCTGTGGCTCCATGAAGCTCAAGGTGGCACAGAGGTCAAGGGCACTGACTCCTCTGTGGGTTTGATGAGCACGAAGGGGGGGACTGGGCTTCCCTCTCACCAGGTGACGTTAGACTCGGCGCTGAGTTCCTCGAAGCTTCCCTGTGTCCCCTGCACAAGGGGGCGCAGAGCTGTTCCCCTCGCCGCGAAGGGCACGCGGGACATAGACGCGCAGCATGAGGGGTGGTCTCTGAGGAGGAAGATTCACGGTGACTGTCCCGCCGCCAGGAGCAAGCGACTTCATCCGTTACCTTCCCGCTTTCTGGCCGGTGGAATGCAGTGATCATACATGTTTCATGGAGCCGCTGTTTTGAGGCTAATTTGAGTAATGCTCACACAATCACCCACACACGCTTCCTGTTCAGTAAATGAAAACCGCTATGTCGTGGGGTTTTTTAGCTCTTTGTGATTTTTTTGTATATGCACCATCTGTCCATTTCTCCTGCCTATCTGTCATTATAATGTATCACCTTTTCCTACACCAAGTGCTTTGAAATATCGGAACTTTACTAAACGGAAACTTAATGGACCTATAGTTTCGGTTAAGCAAGCGATGGGCTGGGCTTCTGAATAAAGGAAGAAGCGTAGGAACAATGGCTTCATGTTTTACCAGCCT